ATGAAAGGGATACTCCAAGCACCATAAGACTCTTCACTTTATTGAAGTGGTCGTGGTACTACTAGGAAGCTATCCCTGGAAACATACCTTTTGAATTGTCCCTATTTTCTGCTTCATCTAGCAAGTGGATTAAACCTCCTTCCCATTAGCATCATATAATGAATGCCAGCCTTGCTTTAAAAAAATATACTCCTTTTTTCATAAAACCCCAGGTTACCAATGATCTTCCATCTTACCATCACCAACTCTAAGTGTATCAAGTTCTGGATCTACCGTTCATGTGACCCAGGTACTTCAAGAGATAACTGCACGAATACAACTGCATGTCTAAAGTTAGGGCTTTTGATCCGGGAAACATTTCATTTAGAGTACCACTTGAAGAATCCAAAGTTCTGCCTTCGAGCGTTGTGTTCTGCAAGTGTCAGTAAATTTACATTATTAAAAAGTTGTAATTATTGACCAGATATTTGAGATTGCCCTTCAATAAAAGTAGATGCACATCTTAACGTGGACATGAGTCACTTTCCAGCCTTTCCTAGGCTCTAGTGTGCCTGCCAATAACGCCTGTATATTAGTTGATATTGATATAATTAATGAACAAAAGCTTTTGGCACGTGCATATATTTTGGGGACATACATAAATAAAATAAACTGTATTTTTTTTTTAACATGCTGCATTAGAAAACATGGTAAGAAACAATATGACACCTAGACACAACATGATTACCAACAGCTACAACTATGCAAATTTCTTAAAAAGAGCACTCAAATGTATTACAGGTTATTGTAGTGCTTATAGGGCAGGGAGTCCTTGGATGCTGCCCTACTGTTGTTTGTCTGTTTTCCAGTGAATTGATAGAAACCTGGGTTGGCCCATCTGCTGTCACAATGTTACATGTACAAATCAGACCAACTTTAGGCAGTAATGATTGGCTGAGGGCCAGGGCCGGATTAAGAGCACAGTGGGCCTGGTGCTGACAATTATGATGGGCCTAATTATGGAATCTTATCGACCAAAAACACTAAAACAATTATACCTCCCGAGCGTCATGTATCTGATGGAGATGGTGCTGGAGGGAAACTCATAGAATGCAGCTATAAGAAAACACATACTCTATGCTAATCTCTCTCTAATTTATGCTTTCATCTTTCAAGTAAATCCAATACCCCCTAACATCAGTGTCCAGTGAAGCAGGAAGTCAATGGGCGGGGTAAAAGGGTGTGCCACTGGCACGAATCACGTGATAAGACCTGCCAAAAGGGGGGCATGTTTGTCCAAACAATTGGAAGGTCAGCCTGGCATGAATGCATGTCAGGCTGCCTACCGATCCTGCAGGCTGTCCAACTAAGGGCATACTATGCAGGCAGCACCTTGAGCTTGACATAAATGCATCTAATGATGCACTCGCTCCATGCTTTCTAAGGACTGTCCCCTAGCACTCGCTGGTCCACTTGTCTCCTTACCTTCTTACTAGCAGGCAGAAGTTCCTGGTATAGTCTGAGACAGAGAAAAGGTGTCTGTAGTGAGTGTAGAAGAAAGGGGACATGCCACAGAGACCAACGTCTGCATTACCTAAACTAACTTTAATGTCAGCCAGTGCACACAAGTTTTGTTCCCATACATCCCTCTTAAGTTTCCAAACTTAAAGGGACATTATAGTCACCAGAACAACTACAGCTTATTGTATTTGTTCTGGTAAGTAGAAGTAGCATTCCATTTAGGCCTTTTGCAGTAAACACTGTCTTTTAAGAGAAAATAACTCCACTGGCCGCTCCTTAGATGGCTGCTAGAGGTGCTTCCTGGGGCAGTACTGCCTAGTCTGCAGCACTGCCATTCAGTGTCTCCACCCTCTGCATGCAGACACTGAACTTTCCTCATGATTGATTCAATTTATCTTTATGAGGAGATGCTGATTGGCCAGGGCTATGTTAGACTTGTGCTGGCTCTGCCCCTGATCTGCCTAGTTGACAGTCTCAGCCAATCCTATGGGGAAGTATTGTAATTTGCTCAGATCACCACTTCTAAGCCAGCAGCTGCAGACTTGAATACAAGTAATATTTTACTATATTTAGGGAGGCAAGAAGGGGCCAGGGTGGTGGTTTTAACATAATAGGGTAAGAAATACATGATTGTGTTACTGACCCTATAGTGCTCCTTTAAGCAAGAATATGTGAAGCGTAGTTAAGGTTGCCACCTTTTTTGGAAAAAAATACCAGCCTTAATCATTTGTATAATTAATTAGTTATGCGTGACATCACATGATGTAAATCACAAGGAGTGACAGCAGAGAAAATTCTGTAAAATCACCAACAAACTACTCACAGTTTGATTCTGCTGTATAGATGGATTGCTCCCAGTGTCTCCCAGTGTCTCAGTCTCGCAAGTCACCCAGTGTCTCAGTGTCCCTATGTATCACAGTGTCAGTGTCCCCATGTCGCCCAGTCCCCTAGTCTCCCAGTGTCTGTGTCCCCATTTCTCCCAGTGTCCCAATGTCTCAGTGTGTCCCCATGTCACTAGGATACTGGGGACACTGAGAGACCCGGGGACACAGACATTTAGGGAAACTGGGAGAAATGGGGACACTGAGACACTAGGGACACAGACACTGGGAGACATGGGGACACTGAAACATTTGGGGACACTAAGACACTAGGGACACAGAGACATGGAAACACAGACACTGGGAGACTAGGGGACACTGTGAGACTAGGGGACACTGGGAGACAGACACTTGGGGACACTGGGAGACATGGGGACAGTTGTGGACATAGACATGGGGACACTGGGACATATAGGACATTTGAAACATTTGGGGACACTAAGACACTAGGGACACAGAGACATGGGAACACAGACACTGGGAGACTTGGGGACACTGGGAGACAGACACTTGGGGACACTGGGAGACATGGGGACAGTTGTGGACATAGACATGGGGACACTGAGACACTAGGAACACAGACACTGGGAGACATGGGGACACTGAAACATCTGGGGACCCTAAGACACTAGGGACACAGACACAGAG